GGTGGCGGTTGCTCGAGCCGGGATGCCATAGAATGACCTCTCCACTATGGCGGACACTCAGGTGACTTTACCATAATGGCAACGGCATTTAGGTGAGCCGCAGCAACAATCAAGGCAGTAGGGCAGTGGGTGAGCAACGATAGCTCAGCGATGACTTTACCAAGAAGCCGGTTCGGTCGGAGACGACCCTAGCGAGGCTGGCCGCGTGCGCATGGTGAGTCGAATGGTGGACCGCTAAGGCACGACCACGTTAGCAGCAAGGAGGCAGCACAAAAGCTACTACTAGCATGCGCACGACGAAGAGTAAGCCAAGACGAGCTAACGGTGCAAAGGAATTGGTGTGAGGTAAAGTGGTGGAGACTGGCCACGATGCGGGCGGCGACGAGCCTTAACGGCACGACCACGGCAAGATTCCAAAATTGGAGCTTCACGCGACGCGAGTCAAGGCGGGGCGGGGTTAGATGGAGAGGGGGCATGAAGGCGGAGATGCGAGCATGAGGAATTGATGAGAGGTGCTTGCTCTCTAGCTTCACCACGACAACGGTGGAAAGCAGAGGGAGGGAGAGACGGGCACGGCAGTGGGTTGGCTCATCCACGCCTTGGTAGGACGCGAACGGCGGGACCGGGAGGCCCACGCACCGGCGCTAGCCGACGGGCGTGCGCACCCGACCCACGTGGCCCACGCGGCCACAGTGCCATAAATGGCAAAACGACAGCGGCGGCGTGCACTTCCTCGTGCGGACGGCACCCAACCAGGCCAGGGAGGGGCAGCGTGATGTAGCACGTGTACTGGAGCGACACGACGGCAGCGACAGCGTTGTGATGTGAGGTAGCAGTGGCGGACGTGATGGCAGCGCAGCGCAGGATGGGGAAGGGCAATGACGGCGTGACGGTGCATGGCAGGGAGCTAGCGGTGGGGTAGTAGCGCGGCAGTGAGGTGGGGCAGCCGCGCGCCAGGGCTATTAGCCACAACGGCCAGCCGAGCATGGCCAGGCACGCGCGGGGTGGCCGGCGCATCGATGTCGTGGCTCAGGGGCACGGTGACCGCGCCTACGCGATGAGACCGAACGAGGACGTGCCATGCACGCTTTTTAAAGCGTCCAAAACAACTAATCGGTTGGCCAAACACCCAAACCATCTTCACCATACTTTAGAGGGTACATTAGGCTACTAAAATAGGCCATGACACTACTCTACTTCTTAACTAAATTTTTCTACAAAAATTGATGAACAAAGCAATGTCTACCCTTTCCAAAGTTCAAGAAATTTGTAAGTTTTTAGTTGAACTCTATTTCAAATTGCATTTCTAAGCTATTGGAAATCTTATCTAGTAATATCATTTTTCGACCGCAGGTATTTCATTATCATCTACAAAGTTTGTACTCCAAACTTTATTCAAGTATCATATACATGTTACCCTAAGTGATATAACATGACTATGGAATTAACTTTCATTTTGCATTTCCGTTGATCGTTTTGAGTTACGGAAATTGATCTACACACGCTATTACATGCATTAACACATAAACATGATGCTCATGACATGTTTTAGTAAATGATTTACGGTGTAACACCGAGGGCGTTACACCAATATTGGGGAAGGGCATCATCATGTTGTGCGCCGCGAGCTTCTTCGTGGGGCTACTGCTCAGCGGTCGGGTGACGCTGCTGACGCCGTCATCGAATGCGTCTTCTGGCCGAGGCTCTAGGGTCCCTCTGTTCTTAGATGGCTGTGACCAGAGTAGGCACCATCGAGCGAGACTTAAGAGTTTTAGATGGATAGTGAGGGAGACAAGCCGGGCTGGTCTGCAGGCTCAGAGAGGTTCTATTGGACGGACGGACGTCCTCACCAGATCATTAGTGTGTAAATATAGAATTGATTCGGGGCTAGATATGCACTTTATAGGGGCAGAGCCAGGATCAAGACATATGTTAAGGGAACGACCCTCAAGGCACCAAGTGTCAAGAAAATTTATGGTATGACAAATGACAAAACAAATATGAAGTGATCAAGTGAAAATAAATATAATTATACACATGCCTATATATAGTGTTTCAATCGTAACTTTGTATGTCAAAATGATGTAGTATGCCTCCTAATACAAAAGAAACGTACTTCGGTTAGCTATTACATACTTGAATTTAACTATCATTGAAACCAGCGCCTTCCCCTCCTTCTCTGCCCCCACCTCTCTCTCTCTCTCTCTCCCTCATAGACGACGGCTAGGGCAACACCCAAGCACGTCTGACACCCAGAGCACTTGCAGCGCTTGGCGGCACCTGAGAGCAAAATGACAGCGTACTCATGCAGTTCTACGAGAGGTAGCTGGTCAAGGACACCTCGGATCCACCTGCGGTCGTGCCCAAATGTGAGACTGTGATGGCGGTGAGACTGTCGGTAAGATCCCGCTCCCGCTCCCTCTCCTTTGCTCCTCTACTCTCTCTCTCTCTCTCAACCTCTCTTACTCCTGCATATTAACACAAGCCATGGGACCTGGTGGACCACTATGAGGATGGTCGAGACAGTTGTGCAGATCCGGCAGTGGCATGCGGATCGACGGTGGCAGCGTGTGCTCAACGGCGTCAGCGGGCAGATCGACGCGGGTGGGCACATTGATGGAGCGTGGCCCAGATTGAGGCCCGTGCCCAGATAGATGTCAGGGTGGGCTTTTCTTGTTTTTATTAACAAAGGCAGGCATATACAACCGCCTTTGGAAATTATGATTAACATTGACCATTAAAATATTTTGGCTATCTCTGAAAAACATTATTGTGGTAATGTTTGACGATGATCTGTTGGCCATTAAAGCCGGATGACATGTCAACCAACGACAATTAGATAGGGACATCATCGTTGGATCAAGCCTCGATCTGACAATGATCATAGGGCCATACTGTCGGTTCATGCCACAAATGGTGGTGATTCAGTTGTCATCACCACCGGTCAAATGCCTAGCCAATGGTGAAAACAGATTAGTAGCACCAATTTTCAACCAACAGTGATAACCATGGTTATCGCCAACTAGGACCAAAACGGTGGGGGGGGGGTTAGGGGTTGGGGGTTCATATTCGACCGTGGTGATGTTTCTACAGTAGTCAATGTTTTCCTAAACGCTAAAAAATAAATAGTAGGTCACCTAGACCTTAAACGAGCTACATGGCCAATTAAAGGGCCAAACGGCGCGTGTACCATTTACATGATGTTTAAACAGGCTAAACAACCGTTTAGGCGAGCAATGACAGCAGTTAGTATGAATGAAGAATTGGATGGCTCTATCAGTGAGGTAAATAAGCAATCAAGTGATCACCGGTATGTTTCACCTTAATCAACCTAAGCCCAATAACCTTTTTCTATATCTCCAAATCAGCACTCACAAAATGAGCAACAACACTAATGTAATCCTCCTTAGCATTACCAGACCAAATGTCTGCTGTTAGAGCGACACAACTCAGATCTAGCAACATCAGGTTTATAATCCTAGTTATGCACAGAACCATCAGGATTGTAAACAAGCCTAGACTGAACCCTAGCACGTTGATCAGTTTTCTACCTACAAAATTTCTGGTGCCTCTTCAAGTGGCCAGTGCCGGCATTAGATCTAGCAGACAAGGTTTGCTTACACATTTTACAGGTAGCTTTAGTGCAAATCTTCCTACCATTCATAGTCTCATATATCTCATCAAAATCAGCCCACACTGGTGATTTACGCTTACCAACATTAGAGTTACCAGCAACAGATGGACCAGAGCTGTTGGAGTTGAGGCCTAGCGGGTTCCCAGTCGTCGCAGCCCCATCACCACCATCGCCGTTCAGATCGATCGGAGTCAGAGCAGCAGAGCCGCTACCGACATCGATACCGAACAACGCAGCAGCGTCCTCCCCGGTGTCGTCGTCGTCCTCAGGGGCTAGGCCTGCTGTGATCTAGTCGTCATTGGCGGTGAGCGGCTAGATGATATCATCATCAGTAGCCGCCATGGCGGATGGCTCTCCAGCACCGTTCCTCAACGGTGCGTGGGGCCACCTTGGTCGCTCTATGCCACAGCTAGAGGATGACGCATCGACTACCGACCTATGTAAAGAGATGGAGGAGGATGAAAAGATCACATCAGAATAAATCAATGGAAGAAGATAGAAGAGGAGGGATAGGGTTAGGGTTAGGGTTTTATCTTTGCAACCGGACCCCGATGCCGGAGAAGACGACGGCCACCCAGAGAAAATGACACACCGGTTAGCAAAGACGGTGAGCGGAGGAGGAGGGACAAACGGGGACAACGAACTCACATAATCACCGAGATCTAGTGGGGAGATAGGGAAATGGAGAAGGGAGAGGCACAGAGGGAGGGGATCAGGGGAGGTCACCGGCGGCAGGCGGAGTCAGAGTCGAGGTCAGACGCCAGCAGACTATAGACAAGACGGCGAGGTGTCGACCGTCCAGCGGTCGAGGCGAGAGCTATGCGAGACCGCGAGAGGCGAGAACGGCGAGGTGGTGGCCGGTAGGGGAGCCGGCCAGCCGAGAGGAAATGATTTAGGGTTAGCGCTGAGGAGGGAGAGCTAGGCGAGACCGCGAGGCGCGAGCGCGAGAGCGGCGAGGCGGTGGGGGAGCCAGGAGGGAGGAAATGATTTAGGGTTAGGGTTGAGGAGGGACGCCCATGCATGCGGCCGTCGCTTTTATACGTGCTGCGCGCAGGGTGATGGGCGCGGTGGTGGGCTAGGCCGCTTCGCTCCTATGCCTCTGTCCACTGCGCGCCGGCGCTGGGCCGCTTCGCTGCTGGGGCCGCTGCCGACCCGACCCGACCCCTTAAAACCGGGCCATGCCATGCCGGCCCGCGGGCTTGAGTATCGGCCCAGGCACGGCCTGCTCTATCGGGCCGGGCCATGCTTGGGCCAGGCCAAATTTGCGGGCTTCGTGCCGGGCCGCCGGGCCTCGGGCTGCATGGACATCTATAAGCGGAGGTGTAGTAGCTAGCCATATAGGCGCTCGACTCTAGGCCTCTGGCCTATGGCGTGTTGGACGCTAGAGCTGACGCTAGTCTCCATGAGGGACCTCCGTGCCATCAACCTCGTCTCTAAGATGGAGGTCTACGCGGTGGCCTACCTAGCCGGTGACCCACGGTCGCGGCAGCGCATCCCCACCGACCGCGCCGGCAGCCACGACCCCACCTGGAACGCCACCGTCGTCCTCACCGTCCCAGCGTCGGGCACCGGGAGCGGTGCCATCCCCGTCCTGCTGCGCACGGAGCACACGCTCGGCGGCGACCGCGACGTTGGCGAGGTGCTCCTCCCGCTCCTTGACGTCCTTGCTGGGACCGAGGACACGCCCACAGACGCCACGGTCGCCTACTTCCCAGTCTGCAGGATCGGGTTAAGCAAGCCCAGGGCATGCTTAACCTCTCTTACAAGCTCGGCAGGGTCGTCCACCCTGACCACCTTGCCTCCTGGATTGAGGAGGCACTCCCGCGGGTGCAGATAGGCGAGCCAAGTCCGACGATGGCGTACTTGGCTGCCGCAGTGATGGCATACTCGGCTGCGCGGTCGCCACAGTGCTTGCCGCCTAGTACACCATACGCAGCGGCGTCTGTGGGTGCGACGTCGACAAGCATGCGGAGCAGCTGGTGGAAGCTGCTTAATTAGCTGCTTGAGAAGATGAACAATGATGATGGCGGATGGCAGGATCTGTTAATGATCCGGCAACAGATGGGAAGGGATTGCAGGCGAAGTCGCCAAGTGGCTGACGGGTGGGGTTTCGGATTGAAGGTCTGTGGACTCCTGACGTGTGGGCCAATGGCGGTTGTGCCATGGGGTCGTGCTAGCTGTGTCTAGGTGGATGGCGCCGGTATAAAGGCCGGTTGTAACGTCTGAAACGCTATCGATGAACTAAAACTATAAAATCCAACCTGTTCTCTGAGCTCTGCTATCCCAGTCTAAATACTCGGTTCTTCCTATCCCGTGCTCCGTTTCTTGATTTCGTCCGAATCCCAGTGGACTCATGACAATTGATATCAAAGCCGTGCCGTGTTCGTAGTGTTGGCGCCGAAACGAAAGCCCATGAAGGCGCAGCTAGAGATGGAGGCGTCTGTGGAGACTGTCTAGGTTATAAAGTGGATATGGTAATTTATGTTATTTGTAGGGTTTTGAGACAAAAAAAAACATAGTGTTCTTTTGTCGGCTAAATACTTGGATAATTGGACTTGCTAGCGTTCGGACGTCCGGTCTGGGACGCTAGCGTCCGGACAGTGCCCGCACAGCGAGCGAGTGAGCGCCCTAGAGCGTTGGGCTCATAAGCGAGCACCCCAGCAGCGAGCCTGTGCCACCCCGGACATCGCCTGAAAATACTTACCTATTGTGAACATATGCAACATCCAGATGAAACGCTTACAACATACGTATGAAACATCTAAAACACTTGAAACATATGCTTGCAACATGCATTTATATGCAACATCCATATTTAATTTTGCAACATTCAAATAAAACACTTGCAACAAACGTCTAAATCAGTTGAAACATTTGAAACATACATTTAGAAACATACGTGTGTAGCCAGTACAACATGTGCAACATGGCAATCTACTTTTGCACCATCGGTATACAACACTTGCAACAAACCTCTGAAACAAACTCTTGCAACATGTGCTTTCAGCGTAGCATCTACTTCTGCTTGGACAAATGTAGGCTCGTCGGCGCGGAACTTGATGACGGCACGGAGCTCGATGCCGTGGAGTGGTGCGGGGGATACCAGTGGGCGGGCGGCTGCACAGCCTCGGCGAGAGTCTGTGCGCCCACCGACGAGGTGCTGCGTGGCTCCTGGCGACAAGGTGGGCGGTTGCGGTTTCCCGTGATGGGAGGCAACAGCGCTGGGCGACTGTGCTGCCCGTGGCGAGCGTCCCTGTGAGCGGCGGGCGGGCGGCGCGGTGGAGTCGGCCGTGGAAGACGAATGCACGCAGTGAAAGAAGGCCGTGACAGGGAGGAAATGGGAATCGACATTTATTCTTTTGATGGAGAAGCCGGGAGCCGGCTCCGTATTGGGCTCCGTAGGTCCGAAAAGGGTGTCCGGAGCGTCGGACGCCCTAGAGATCTATCCACCGTGTAGCACACCAAATTTACCCTGAAATTTAATTTTAAATTACATCTATTTTTGTGATTTTCTCGATTGTTATTTTATCTTTTAGAAAAATTAGACTAGCTAGTGTAAGCGAGGCTAACTTTGCTCAAGAAGAAAATTAGAACAGAAGGGGAACAAAGCTTTAAAGGCGATCAGGCAGCATGGCGTTGGCGATTGCCTAGGCTGGTTGGCGCAGAAGAATCCCGGGCCCAAGACACCAGAGCCACCAACACAAGGCGGGGACATCTGGATCCCAAGCGTGCTCCTTGCCTCGTGTAGAAACTTTATATCTTTGATTGATGAGTGTGGGAGCGGCAAGTGAAATGATGAAGAACACAAGGGAAATCAGATGCCAAGACGCTGGATGGGGGAAAAGACACCAAAGCTTAACCTCCAGCTCATCCTTTTTTTATATAATATAATAATAAAAAAAGTTGATTAGGAAATAAACTAGCTAGGCCTACAAAAGGCTCGTCTCCGCCTTTCGTGTGTACGTTACACTTCATTCATACTTCTTCCTGAATTTCATCATCGTCTTCATCCGAATACTTGAGCCAAGGAGCAGACGCGTCCCCAAACCAAGGTGATCCATTGTTTTTTCATCTGGATCTCTCGTTTTTCATCTGGTTCAATTGTTTGATTTGCGCATACGTAAGAGCTGTTTGCAAATTCAGGTGAAGCCAGCCATGACCGGGATCGACAATCACAAGCACATGGTGCTCCAACTTCATAAGGCACCTGACGTTCGGTCAGCACCAAGGCTGGAACCAGAAGCTTCGACGCGCGGCATCCTCCCTCGCTTCAATCGGCACAAGCGAACAATGTACAGCCGTGGAAGCTTTGGCGTCCTCCGTGAGCAGCATGTTCACGGACATGGTGAAAGACAAGGTGGGCATGGTGCTGGGAGTCTCCGGCGAGGTCATGAAGCTGGAGGGCAAGCTGCACGGCATCAAGGATTTCCTCGCTGACGCCGACAGGCGGTCCATGACCGACGAGCACGTGCGACGATTTGTGGGGAGGCTCATGGACGTCATGTATGACGCCACCGACGTCATGGATCTGTGTCAGCTCAAAGCCATGAAGAAGCGGCGGGTGGAGTCTCTACCAAGCGGCCCGCGGGACGTGGGGCACTGCAACCACTTCCTTTTCTGCCTACGGAACCCGCTCTTCGCCCACGACATTGGGAGGAGGATCAGGGAACTCAACCAGAGGATGGATGAGATCAAGAAGGACGCTGAGGTATTCAATTTCATGAACCTCGCCTCCTACGAGGATCGTCGTCGCATGGCGGTCCCTCGCATTAATGCCACGCGCAAGACGGCCGCAGGATTCTATCAGAAGGACGCTGAGGGTATTCGGCCCACGATTGACCGGTCGCATGGCGGTCCCTCGCATTAATGCCACGCGCAAGACGGCCGCAGGAATTGACCGGCTTGGTGTGGTCGGGGAGAAGATCAAAGAAGACACAAGACTGTTGGTAGAGATGCTGGTGGAGGAGAAGAGCGATGCTGGTCTAAGCAGCAGTATAAGTAACAACATCAAGATCGTCGCTATCGTCGGCGTTGTCGGCTTTGGCAAAACCACCCTTGCCCAGATGATCTTCAACGACGAAAAAATCCAGGGCAAGTTTGACAAGAAGATATGGCTGAGCATCAACAAGGACTTCGATGAGGCTGAGCTGTTACGGACTGCCATCGCCGCAGCTGGAGGTGATCACCATGGGGATAAAGAACCATCACTGCTACAGCCAACCCTAGTCGCTGCCTTGGCAGGGAAGAGGGTATTTGTTGTCATGGATGATGTCTGGAGCGACAGAGCCTGGAATAGCGTGCTTAGAATCCCACTCACCGCTGCTGTTACCCGAGGCAGCAGCATCCTCGTCACAACAAGAGATACAAGAGTGGCAAGGGGGATGAAGGCCATGCACCCTTATCACCATGTTGAAAAGTTAACGCCTGAGGATGCTTGGTGCTTGCTAAAAAATCAGGTATGCACGTATTTTACTGACTTAATCAATCTTTATTTATATATTTTCGTGTGTATCCATCATATATATGTATAATCGAAAATGTTACGAATTTTAGAGCAGAGAAGCATCTTCTTGCGTTGTACTATTGTAGCTTAATTAAATTGGGTTCGGCAACATAGGTGTAACCAGATCAGACAAATTAAGACCGATATAGATCATCACATGTTATTATATTCCAATTTTCATAGATTTTAGAGTTGGACACCTATAGCATTGGATAATTATCTTTTCATCATGTAGGGCTAATTTGGAAGGCAACGTATCAGGTGTAAATCAACCAACCTGTGCAAATTTAGAAACTACCAATCAGGATCACTAGATGTTGATCCAATGGATAGGGTGAGGGGGCTTAAGTGCAAAAAAAAAAGGCCGGCGGGTGGGGGGCTTAAGCGTAAAAAAATCTCACATTTCACCCCATCTATTGGATCAGCATCTATTTGTCCTGATTGGTAGTTTCTAAGTTTGCACAGGTTGGTTAGTTTGCACCTGATACGTTGCCAATTTGGAAACTCAAATCATCTTGGGATCCCTGACTTTTTCCAGGGTGAGAAATCCATGGAGAAATAATTTGAATAATTATTTAGTTCTTCATGAAGGGTTTTCTATCCCTGAGTGTGCCTCCTCCTTCCTTCCAAATTAGCACTATGTATATATTTTTGTCCGATATAAAGTCAGTGTGGATAGTGACACAAAGTTTTGATTGCATCACTAGCTCACAATATAGGAATGCAATATAATTAGAGTGAGCACTGTGAAAATGATGGTCGAGATACATTATTGGAATCTCGCTTTTTTCTGTGAGTGCGAAAACACACAGAAAAATGCGAATACCATCAGAAAAATACCCATATAAATATAATGACAGGAAAATCAAATTTTTCTGTGGATTCACCATCAGAAACAATTTTTCTGTGGGTCTCACACGCACAGAAAAATTATGTTGGCCCAGATTAAAACTAATTTTTCTGTGTATTAATCCACACAGAAATAAATGCATAAACGCACAGAAAAACATGTTTTTTTCTGTTGGTCTAAGTGAACTCATAGAAAAATTCATTTCGCCCAGATTAAAAAAATATTTCTGTGTAGCCAGCCTCACGAAAAAAAGAGTTGAACACACACAAAAAATTATTTTAAAACAGTAGCAACAGCATATTAAAATATATATTTTCCATACAGTACTTTCTGTGCATGACCAAGAAGATTTCATTCAAATAATACACAAATCAATAGTTCATCATGAATGGAGTCAACACTTATGTCAAAAATAGACGACGACATGCTGCCTCCACCTGCCCGCTGCCTGCCTGAGCCTAAGCCTGACCTCGGGGATAGGAGA